GCCGCCGCCGCCGCCGCGCAGCCCCACTTCAACGCACAGGGGACCCTAGCGCCGCCGCAGCCAAAAAAGCCACCGCCGCGAGGGTTGCCACCGCATCAGTGCAGGGCAAGGTGAGCTGCCAAGGGGTCCGGTGCTTTTCCGCCCGGCGCACCTGCGTAACCTTCATTTGACTGATGCACCGGCTGCATGGGGAAACTGGTGGACGGCGTTTGAATGGGGGGTGGATGCGGCGGCCTGGGGTCCTGGGGAAGGGATGGGGCTAGGTGCCTCCACCTGCCGATTCTCACTACCCCCCCCCACCCCGCCAGCTCTGCGGTGGAGGGGGGAGGGGTGGCGCGTGCCTCTCGGGATGGGTGCGCGCGCAGAGGCTATATACGTGCGCGTGCGCGTGGTGTGCACACGCGTGTGCTCCCAGCTTGTGACGGCGAAACTGTGACTGTCCTTGCGTATTCTCCCATCTCTCTGGGCCTCTAATCTCAAGTGTGTGCGTGCAGCACGCTGCGTGCGGAGGGAGGTACGTGTGCGTGCCCCGCCGTGTCACACAGGGCTGCATGCCCCTGTGGGTGACATGGACACTCCTGCCTGGGTGGAGGGCGCTGTCTGTGCGGGTGAGTTTGCATATTTGTGTATGCGAGCCCATGTGCAGAGAGGCGCCGGCAGTGTGCACCGGAGTGTGCCTGCTCCCTCTTGTGTACGCCCCGCACAGGTAGGTGTGCATATGTCAGGCTGGGAACACCTGAGCATGTGACTCCCTGCCCCTGTCACGTGATGCAGCTGCCTCAGCTCTTGCGCTCCCTACCTGGAGGGGCAGGGAGAAGGGGCTGTGGACGCGCCTCAGTGGTACCATGCGCGCTTGTTTACGTGCCAAGCGCAGCTCTGCTCGGAAGATAATGAATGATTGATTGGGGGCGGGGCCAGCTGCAGCCACCCCTCTGGTCACAGCGGTTGGGTTTAGGGTTACAATGGGACCTGGGGAGCAAGCCAGCTAGAGGGGGGCTAATGAGGCGACCCCATCCCCATCAGTACCGCCACCTTTCAAAGTCATGGGTCTCCCAGGGCCATGGGCTGGAGCGCCTGATGCGATGAGGGTGGTCTCTGCGTGCCAGATGCCCCCTATTTGGGGCCCTCTCCATCCTGCGTTCAACCTCGGAGGCTGCAAGGGGCACTCTAATGCGTGCCTCCACTCCACACCCCCAGATGGCGTCTGCCACAGACTCGCGCTACGGACAGAAGGAATCTTCCGATCAGAATTTCGACTACATGTTCAAGATCCTCATCATTGGCAACAGCAGCGTGGGCAAGACGTCCTTCCTGTTCCGCTACGCCGACGACTCCTTCACGCCCGCCTTCGTCAGCACCGTGGGCATCGACTTCAAGGTCAAGACCATCTACCGCAATGACAAGAGGATCAAGCTGCAGATCTGGG